ATACTCTGTGTACATGGACTAGGAATTCTTACCGGCACGTCTATCCCACCAAGCGCGTCTGACCTGTTCTCAGGCAGCCCTGCGACGTTTTGTATTTTACATCAAAATTTTTCGCCCATGTGGGTGCGTCTGCTGGTTTCGCGACGTTTAGCTTTATAACCCGGAACCCGCTCGGGACTATTTTCAACCTTTTTTCATCAGCAGAGAAGTGTGAACAGGTCCCGAATGCGTTCGTAAGCAAAGTCGCTCAGAGTAATTTTGAACCACATCCATTGTTAGCCCTTCCTGAGTGCTTGGTTGTAAGCGATACCACGTTCGGTTTTGAGGGTAGACCAGTAAGCGGTTGGTTTCTCGCCACATTTCCCACCTTCCAAAAACATTCGACACTTCTTGTAGACAATCTTTCGTGCTTGTGAATTACCCACAAATAGGTTGTGTGCGTATTCAGCGTACCATCGTTGGTTTTAAAGGGACTGAGCCCGTTTCCACCATTTTTGTGTTTTCCTCCATATTACAGACATAAGTCCCATTGGTCGATTAGTGGCCAGAATAGTAAAAGTTTAAGCTAACGGTTTGTGTTTGGAATTCAATGCGTCACATCTTTCCGATCTGTAACCTGATGTCGGTCATTTTGGGAACATGCTAGTCCTCGAAGACTTTTGTCGCTTGGTCTGCTGCCTTCTAAAACTTCGACCTTCCGCTTGCTCAGCTTAAACTAATAGAATTGGTAAAATTATTGTTCGAATCGGATTTACCTAGTTCTGCATCAAGAAAATTGCACAGTTAAGGCACTGATTACTTCTTTCACGCGATGTTCTAGTGTGATTATTTACATTCAAAATGTGTGCCGTCGAAATGTTAACCACAGTATGCTTTGCCTCGTGCGTTGGCAGTGGTGTTCATTAAACAGAACCCTGTCCGCCAGCCTCAGTCAAGTCAGCTAACCATCGGCCCTTTCAGTAAAAGGTGAATTGAGGGAACTGATCTCTGCACCTTAATCGACGTTGGAGGCGTCACTTGACAGTTCCCTGGTCTGAGTCCTACCGTACTGACTTATCCCAACCTCTTCTCGCTTTGCCGATCCCTTTGTATACGCTATCTACGAACTTATTTGCATTCTTAACCGTTTTTTTCTGTCTGTGTTCTTAACACTTTTTCTGGGTCCCTCCAGCCCTTAAGTTTTCCAGATGATATCATGAGCAAACTGGAGAAGATCGGTACGCGTCCGGAACCTGTGTCCCGGCGTGAGTCTCATAGTAACGATAGTCCTCTCGACTGTAGAACCGCAAAATCCTCTCCCGCTTTTTCTACCTTGGATCGGCAAGGCAAGGGTGTATCAACAAGTTCTTCCAGCCCCTCCGCTTCCGACGGTTGTCACGCCACTACCACAACCATCGCGGCCACAACAACACCGTGTACTCCGTCACCACTTGAACTTCGTTTCTCTTCAAATATTGTTATCCGCCGACTCTGGGCTCCGCATGAGGGTCAGCTTCGGATGCCTCATCCACCAAAATTGATTTCCGACTGGTGGGTATTTTCTGCGGTCTCATTCTCTTGTGCTGCCCTGTATTTCTCTATGTAGTTTTTTTTTGACCAATTCGCTCATAGACCTTACAGAATGTTGTCGGTTCTGACTCAAGATAAATGTCTGTCTGAAGTTAACGTCACAGGTCTCTTTCTGTTGTGGTAGGGAGAACCTACCTTCACGAAATTGCGCACCCATTGCTCGTTCATACATCAGGGATTGGATGCTCGTTCTTATTTCCAGGTTGCTCAGTAGGGCACTTAGAAGCCCTTTTACTTCGTTCTGTTTACATCCATTTTTATTTTACTTTTTAGTCCTAAGGGTCCAAAGCCACCAAACCTATCTTCTGATCCACCAGTATTGCTCGACCCCACCTGCGTCGTCACAAAGGATTCTGCCCACCTTTATGATCGTGATTTTATTCCCAATGTTTGCCTGAAGCCAATTTCAACGGCTCATCTTTCTAAAAGTTTAAACTGTGTTCCCTCAAATGATGACATCCTATTTGAGAAACGCCAGTCTGTGTCAACTGACAATATCCGTCTGCCTAAACCTATTTCCCTGGCTGATTCCGATTGGCATCAGTCCCGAAGAACGTCGGCCTCTGCAACAAAGCACGGCGTCCTCATACGGGGTGAGGTGTCAAACTCCAGTCCCAGGTTGGACTTTATGGATTCATCACCTGCCCGCTCTCGCCATTTTAGTTTCGCCCAGGATCTCCCCTTTTCCACGGCTCACACCTCCCAAGCCGCCAGTACGAGACCTTCCCCCTCTCTGGCTAGTATGCCGT